GAAAAACAAGTTTTTAACCTGCAAAATCACCATGATTAAGTTTTATTTTTAAACTACACGGTTAATATCGGAAAAAATTGATTTTCCATGGGTTTATTGCATAAAAATCTTTCAATGACAATAACACTAGTTAAATGTATAAAAACTTATGTCAACATAACCTCACTACACAAAAACGAAATTTTACATAACCTACAAACTTTCCGATATACCTTTTTGTTAATCTATTACTTCTTGACCAATTATATATAACACGTCTACAATAAAATATACACCTAAATTGATTGTCTAGGTCTCAATCTCTGCATTATATAATAATTATTGTCCAGAACTGGGGAAAGAGAGTGTCTAGCCTCAACATTTTCCCGATTTCGTTTTATTATTTAGGCGTATACTTGTTTTGAAGAATATTTCTTGCTTTCCGTTGTAGTTTGAAGTAAAAATAATAACTGATAGAAAGGTAAATGATACATCTTACTTACTACGTCATTTAATTATAATTTAGCATTTGAACTTTTTTTTGCTTGAAAAATAAAACTATCATAATACATAGGCAATCTTATGTTGCTTTGTTTTAGATGTAAAAATCTAAACAACGATTATATTCTACAAAATTCCAAAAATTATTTGCAAGTAAATAATGTAGTAAGGGAAGATTATTTTATTTGGTTGTCTTTTTTAATCAAAAAGATTTTTGTATAAAATTTATCTATATGAGTGATAACCAAAAAATTCTCTCCTTATCTTGAATTGTAGAGTAGTAAATTATATGATACTTTCTTGATCACTTTAATTACAACAGTAATGAATACTTTTCAATAAAATGTTACCACTTAGTACATCTTATATGGCTATTATTTTAANTTTATATAGATTTATGAAGTATATTGTATTAATTAGAACAAGTTTTAAGGTTACATACATTACTATTTTGTATTTTGAATCTCATGGTTCTTATTTTATGTTCGATTTGTGGGGGGTTGAATTACGAAGCGTGCAAGGTCGCAAAGCCCTATTGGTATATATTTTATATATTTTTCGTATCTGCCTAGGTTAATCCAGAAAATACTCTGAGGGACATTCGGTATCCATTGAAAAACACCTTTAATTGAAAAAGTTAACAACAACGGAAGTATAATTTCTGGCGTGCTAGCAAGAAAAATTCTCCATCAAATAGAATTAGATTTCCGTGTGATACTCTATTCCGTACTATAATTGCACGGCTTGCTCCTAATTGCTTCTAACCTGTGTAAATAAAATAGAATAAGGATAAGACGTTATTGTTATTATTACTATTTTTCTTTTCAAAGTACCTATTTTTTTTTTACTTGCATGTTTGACCTGATTTAAAATGTATAAATTTAATAGCTCATAAAAAATTTTTATCAAGTAAATATCTAATTTTATTTATTTATTTCTTTCCATATTTCTTAAAGGAGCAAAGATCCAATTACATAGAAATAAGAAGAAAATGTGAGAATACTGCATAATACAGTCTAATTGCCGATAAAAATATTTTTTTAAATGTAGGCTTCAGTATTAATTATAACTAGAGTGTAAAAAATATAAAAACATGTATTTAACACTTAATCATTAAAATTAATAAGAGTTAATTAACAAAATGAATACGTAAGAATTGACGTCGTTGGTACTATAGCTAGCGATCATCAGTTAATAAAAAGCACTGTAAAAAATGCTGTAGTAAGATCACTAGCGGATAGTAACTGTTTTTACTATCCTGAGCACAGTAATTATAATATCTAATAGCGAAAACTATGTCTTGAGCATGGTAATTTCACTAGTATTGTATTGATATTACTATCCGCTATTAAAATTAATATGCTCAGCATAGGTTACAGTGAGACCTATACTCAGCATATCAATTTTACTAGCTGCATGATAAATACAATCGGCTATTAAAATTACAAGACGATGGAGATTCTACGTTCCGATAGTTAAAATACGTTTAACATCCCTCGGAAAAATACGAGATAATAGTAATATGGCGCTTCGATGGTAAAAGTACATTGATCCAAATTACACGAGATAGTAAAAGTAATATCTATAGTATTAAAGTTACATGCAGCTATTACTCTTTATGGGGGTAAGGGAATCTCGCATTGACTACATTAATGTACATGTATATTTCTACCTAATTTACGGTTCGTGCTTCGCGCTCTCGCACTATAATGAATAATTGTGATAAGGATTAAAAGTAAATTTATCATCAGTGCTCTTACAAATTTGTAATCAGTAAGTATTAGGTATGTTGTATATATAGCGAAAGCATTCTGGAAAGTAAACACTTTTCAGGTTATGTATCATTTCATGACATCGTGGGTATACACCTTAGTAGACCAATAGCTAAATATTTCGGATCTCTACAAATCATCACGTTTCTTAATTGTGTGTGAAGATGTGTCTGTAATGTGAAGAAATAAGAACATAACCCTTTTAGTGAACATGGAACTATGAACAGTACGATAGTGCTTCTCATATCCAAGATATGACTTTTACGCTTGGGATGGTAAAATTACTACACGATCGCAAAAAATTTCTGAAGATTTTGGCTTCGCTGAAAATTACTATCTTAACATTTAATTTTACTATCCGGGAAAAACATTTTACGAACCGATAGTAAAATCCCTATGCTGAGCATAGGTCTTTACTTTACGTATGCTGAGTATAGTGATTTTACTACAGCAGTTTTTACAGTGAGGAACTAGTTTGAATTCAAGAAGGTGCAAAGGTTTACCCTAAAGATATTTATACTAGAGAGTATAAGGAGATTTTTAATAATTGAGTTCCAAAGATGTCTTAGACAATCAATAGGTGAATCGTATGAATGAAGAATTTGTAGTATGAGTCTGTTCTACCAGTGTGGAAGGGTACCTTAAGCTGTCACGTAGGATTCTGGAAGAAAATAATAGCTCTGGACAACGTATAAAGTTATTTTAAAGTCTAAAGACAAACAAGAATCGTAATAGATGCAGAGTGGTTTAGTGCGAAGAAGTGAGGGATAATAAAAAAAAATAGTCACAATTATTTCCTGTATGATGCATAGGCAAAGAAAGCTGTTTTGAAAGATGCTAGTTGAAGAGCACTATGCAGTATATTTTGGAAATGATATAGTTTTTGCTTAAGTATAACGGAACTAGACTATGGATACATATGTAAGCTGAATAGGCATAGTGGTTTAAAAAAGTACATTATGAATGTAGATTTGAAAAAAAAATTTTAATCTATTACAAATAAAAATTTGTTTCGTACATTTTTAAAAATGGTACAGTTACTAATTGTTTGAAGTGTACCTCAGTTTAATTAATTATCTTCTATTAAGAAGACAGTCACTTATTCTTTAAATATTAGTTTTTATACTTCATTAGAATTATTTTCCTCCCTGCATTACATTATTCTATTTAATACGTTAGAAAAAATCTTAAATTGTTTTTAGTATTTCTTCCGATTTAATAAAGCCTGATGAAAGTAGCCTAGCATATGTCGGAAGGTTGCACAAAAATTATATATTTTTTGTATATTCTTCTTACCATAGCTCTAAAAGATAAAAATATTAGCTATATATGGTAAAATGTTTATTTTTCTTGCATTGATGCAATGACAGTTAATGACTCAATATTTGTAGTTTTTCGTGAAAAGGCCGTTTCTGTTGCGAGCTAAGCTTAACCCCCAAGCTATGATTAATGAATATTTTTTTAATTACAAATAATTTGTTACTTGTACAATAAATAAATAACTGATTATACAATTTTCTCATTTTTTTTAAATTTTCAATAATAAAAGAAATATTCTGAACTGTATCGAAACAATAATTGATTTTTATTTTGTTTCATTCTTTCACAATTTTTCCATTTGTGATTAAGGGAATTTTTCAGCTAAAGGACGTTCATCGCAGTTAGTGGGTTAAAAGTTTGGAGAAGTGAGAGGAGCGTTAATATATATAGCAATACTGGCAATTGTTTTTCTCATTTGGATGTCCTTACATACATGCTTTTACGCATACTATTAAATTATATTATTAAAAAAAAAAAAGAAAAAAAGAAAAAACTTGTGGATCTATTTGAAAATTCAATAGAAGATTTCTACAGATCATTTAAATACAATTTTGCGTGATTTTTCCATAAAGTTACATGTTACATTGCCATTTGTTTTAAACTAAACATATAAAAAAGGGTACATTTAAATAATCTGCAATTTTTTGTGACTACTTCTTTTGCTTTTTCTAATGTAAGTTTGACGTTTAAATAATATCTGTAAAAAAAACCTGTGTAAAAAACGTCATGAAGGGACATGCACTGGCATGTAATACTACCATATTAAAGAAAGCGGTATTACAGAATGCTTTTCCTTAACTTTTTAGATACAAATATATTCCGGGTATTAAATTTGGACTAGGAAGACGTGTAAAGTAGAAATTGAGCGTATGTGACAGATGTGAGCGTGACCTTCGAGATGTAGGCCAGCCTACATGTTGTTTATATTGTTTTGTGCCTTAACGTGTTATATTTTACATGTTTCTTCCTAAGTGTAAGTAATGAATGTATGAACGTCGAACAGTTTCTAGGAAACACTTAGAAACGGAACACATGACAATTTATAAATCATCAGTTAATAACAAATGTACATGACACGCTTAACGAACCAGTTTAGTATAAGTAAAGGCTCTGCTTGCCACATGTAACAATGATATTATGAAAAAGATTTGAACACTGTTTTTAGATGTTTAAGTGTTGGTTATATTCATAGAATTCATGACAAATTTTTGACATGAAGTACATTAAAAGAATGCATTGTCTAAAATAAATAAATTTTCATTTCTTACTCTCTTCTTGACAGACACGATACACCATGTTAACAAAAAAGATTGAAATCATCGTAAACTGTTTGCTATTACGCTAAAACTATCTAGCATTTTATTGTGTTAAGGAAGCTTATTATTTAGGCTTTAATATTTTCTAATTTTAAATTGTGTTTGATTTTAGGTAATGTGTATTTGATTGGCTGTACAAATTCAGGAAAATCGACTCTCTTTAATACATTGCTACATTCAGATTTTTGCAAAGCCCAAGCAGTTGATTTGACACAATTTGCAACAACTTCTTATTGGCCTGGAACTACATTAAACTTATTAAAGTTCCCTATTTTTAAACCTACAAGTCAAAGAATTTTTGAAAGAATGAAAAGATTATTGAGTGATAGAAAAAAAGATACTATAGATAATCAATTAAAATATGAAGAATTCAGAATTACCGGTAAAATAGAATTGACAACACTGAAAAGTACGGTATTGTTTATATTTTTCTAGTTTGTTAGCTTAAAAATAATTTGTGTTAACTATAATCTAGTCTAATGCTAGTACTAATAATTTTGTGTATGTAACTATCCTGAACTCATTTAATAGTTTTTGACTGCTTATTGCAATAACAAAGTTTATAAGTCTATTTTGAAAACAATGTTACAATAAGAGATTGAAGTTTAACAAAATGATACTTAGGCCTCCAATGTAATTTCTTATTATTGAGATTCATTGTTGCTGATGTTGATTTGCTTATTATAAAGTTGGATTTTCTTGCATGGTACCACTTTTTACCTAATTGCCGTATTAACACGTCGCCGATGTTTCTACTAGACTTCAAGCTCAAGATTCATTTCAACCTTCTGCATAGACAAGTATTAAGGCTGTTCAGGATTATTTGTCTTTTTCGGCTTTTTTATTTCAGTTTTCTGAAATTACTTGTCCGCCTGTTTTACTGCTTAAAATTAAGCATAAAATGGTTCACGATATTCGTACTACTCCTCAACCAACGGTGGTAAGTAAAGTACGCTGATTAAGTCCCGAAAAATAAAATATCGCCCATAAAAAGTTCAACGATATATTTCAGTCTGGCACAACTCGTTGATTCGAAGGCTCTTAGTCATTACCTTTATATCTAGCACCGAAAAGCGATTCGACTTGGCCTCTTGGCGTTTTGAATGCTCCAATTATTCCGGATTGTGACCCTAAGTCACGATGTCACTTACTCTATGAATGTTTGTACAGAGTTTTAAAAAATTGACCTTTGAAAGGCGTATTAATAATTTCCAGTTCCTGAAGGAGATATTTAAAAAAAAGCTATAATTACTCCATTGGGCATTTTTTAATTTCTGTTCATGACGTTTGGTCATAGAATTGCTAGTCGAGCCTTGCTAATGTTTGTAGACTAGATTTTACGTGGTTTATAGTTTCGTTTTGTATACTGCAAGGTTTAGGTGCGCACAAGCGCGAGCTGAGTCACGTGGGACCTCTTGCTCTCCTTTTCCTTTCTTTTCAAAAGGGGGAATTGCGCAATTTGTAAGTGCGCAGGTTGGCTGCAGGTACACCGCCGAAAAAAAAGAGAGGCAAAGGGGGAAGCAAAGGAAAAAGGGTCGAGGCTGAGCCGAGGAGAGTGAGTTAGTCACGGGACGCCCGAACGGAATCAAGTAAATCGGGAGCCGAGCATCGGATAGGAGTGAGTAGGAGCTACCCATCGGAGAGCGAGGCGGTGAGTCCAGCACTCACACGATCGAGGAGTTAATCCTTGGCCCATGGTTGTCTAATAATCAACCAAGTGGTGCCCTTCAATCTGCTTAGCTCGAACGACAGAGCCTTCCTTGGTTTTTTGTATAACATCTTGTTTGTTGTTCTCCTTTTTTTTTCTTTCTCGTTTAAGTTACTGGCTTGCAATTGTTTCTTCTCTGCGTTTTCCGTGCGATTCTTGCTCCGTGTCCTATTTTTCCGTTAATGCGCTCATTATCTGTGTGTCTCTACGCCCGTGTAGTTACGATCTAAAAATTATTTTGTGTGCGTTCCCTAATTTAGTTAGTCTGCTCGATTTTTTCATTCTAAGGGCCGCTGTGCTTTGTAATTGCGTTATAATATTTTGTTTTTTGCATCGCCGAACCGGCCAAGAAGATAGTGTCGGCCTTGTTTAATTTTTTGTTAAGAACTTAAGTGATTTTTCTTTCGTTTGTTTACGAATATATGAAAAGCACCGACACGCTAGAGCGCCTGGTTATTCTATAAGGATCTAATTTCCAGGAGTAAAAACGTAAACGCGGCGTGTGTTGGATTTGATTTTCCTTTTGTTTTTGTGTCGCACAGACGTCGTCACGCGCTTATTCATTATTTTCTTTTGGTTAATTCAACGAGCAGAGGCGCTGACCTTGTACGTATTGTTTTAGTATACGCCAGATCATAACAATATCAGTTCACCTTACAGTCGTTGTCATACGCGGATAGTTTATACTTGAATTCTCGGAACTCACCTCCGACGACTATTATTATTTTCTTTTGCGTTCGGCCATGCGACTTACTCGAAACTAGTCCCACGCCGTATTTACTATAACATTTGCATTTCTGCGTAATCTTCTTTTTTTTGCGTGTAGGTACATTTTTTTACCGCACTATATTATACGTTACCGGCCATAAGCTACTTGTTTTTCTCCAGCGCGGCAATTTTGTTAACTGGCTGTTACGTTTCGATATTTTCAAAGTGGCACAAGAGCCCAACAAAAAGTTCTAAATTTTTTTCTAATTTTTTCGTATACGCGTATTTGCGTATCGGCGGAAAATTCAACATTTTCCAAGCTCGGCGGCCTTTCACGGTTTAAAAAACTTCTCGGTATCGTGTATAAAACTAATAGAAACACATTTTATTAATTTTCAAGGTGGCACAAGAGCCAAACAAAAAGTTATAATTTTTTTTCTGATTTTTTCGCATACGCGTATTTGCGTATAGGCGGAAAACTCAATGTTTTCCAAGCGTGGCGGCCTGTCACGGCTTGGAAAACTAGTTAGGATTGTGTATAGAAGTAATAGAAAGATATTCTATCAATTTTCAAGGTGGCACAAGAGCCGGAAAATAAGTTATGAATTTTTTTCTGATTTTTTCGTACACACGTATTTGCCCATTGGCGGAAAACTCACTGTTTTCCAAGCCTGGCGGCCTTTCACGGTCTAAAAAACTTGTGAGTATCGTGTATAAAAGTGATTAAAACATATTCTATCAATTTTTAAGCTGGCACAAGGGCCGAAAAAAAAGTTATACATTTTTTTCTCATATTTTTGTATACGCGTATTTGAGTATAGGCGGAAAACTCATCATTTTTTCAAGCCTAGCGGCCTGTCACGGCTTAGAAAACTAATTAGGATCGTGTATAGAAGTGATATAAACATATATCAATTTTCAAGGTGGCACAAGAGCCGAAAAATAAGTTAAAAATTTTTTTCTGATTTTTTTGCATACGCGTATTGGCGTATCGGCGGAAAACTCATCATTTTACAAGCCTGGCGGCCTGTCATGGCTTGAAAAACTTGCAGGTATCGTGTATAAAACTAATAGAACTATATTCTATTCAGTTCCAAGGTGGCACAAGAGCCCAACAAAAAGTTGTTAATTTTTTTCTGATTTTTTCGTATACGCGTCTTTGCGTATAGGTGGAAAACTCACTGTTTTTCAAGCCTGGCTGCCTTTCACGGTTTGAAAACTTGTAGGTATGGTGTATAGAAATAAAAAAAACATATTCTTTTAATTTTCAAGGTGGCACAAGGGCCGAAGAATAAGTTATTAATTTTTTTCTCATTTCTTTGTATACACGTATTTGAGTATAGGCGGAAAACTCATCATTTTTCCAAGCCTGGCGGCGTGTCACAGCTTGGAAAACTAGTTAGGATTGTGTATAGAAGTAATAGAAAGATATTCTATCAATCTTCAAGGTGGCACAAGAGCCGGAAAATAAGTTATGAATTTTTTTCCGATTTTTTCGTATACACGTATTTGCCCATTGGCGGAAAACTCACTGTTTTCCAAGCCTGGCGGCCTTTCACGGTTTAAAAAACTTGTGATTATCGTGTATAAAAGTGATTAAAACATATTCTATCAATTTTTAAGGTGGCACAAGGGCCGAAAAAAAAGTTATACATTTTTTTCTCATATTTTTGTATACGCGTATTTGAGTATAGGCGGAAAACTCATCATTTTTTCAAGCCTAGCGGCCTGTCACGGCTTAGAAAACTAATTAGGATCGTGTATAGAAGTGATATAAACATATATCAATTTTCAAGGTGGCACAAGAGCCGAAAAATAAGTTAAAAATTTTTTTCTGATTTTTTTGCATACGCGTATTGGCGTATCGGCGGAAAACTCATCATTTTACAAGCCTGGCGGCCTGTCATGGCTTGAAAAACTTGCAGGTATCGTGTATAAAACTAATAGAACTATATTCTATTCAGTTCCAAGGTGGCACAAGAGCCCAACAAAAAGTTGTTAATTTTTTTCTGATTTTTTCGTATACGCGTCTTTGCGTATAGGTGGAAAACTCACTGTTTTTCAAGCCTGGCTGCCTTTCACGGTTTGAAAACTTGTAGGTATGGTGTATAGAAATAAAAAAAACATATTCTTTTAATTTTCAAGGTGGCACAAGGGCCGAAGAATAAGTTATTAATTTTTTTCTCATTTCTTTGTATACACGTATTTGAGTATAGGCGGAAAACTCATCATTTTTCCAAGCCTGGCGGCGTGTCACAGCTTGGAAAACTAGTTAGGATTGTGTATAGAAGTAATAGAAAGATATTCTATCAATCTTCAAGGTGGCACAAGAGCCGGAAAATAAGTTATGAATTTTTTTCCGATTTTTTCGTATACACGTATTTGCCCATTGGCGGAAAACTCACTGTTTTCCAAGCCTGGCGGCCTTTCACGGTTTAAAAAACTTGTGATTATCGTGTATAAAAGTGATTAAAACATATTCTATCAATTTTTAAGGTGGCACAAGGGCCGAAAAAAAAGTTATACATTTTTTTCTCATATTTTTGTATACGCGTATTTGAGTATAGGCGGAAAACTCATCATTTTTTCAAGCCTAGCGGCCTGTCACGGCTTAGAAAACTAATTAGGATCGTGTATAGAAGTGATATAAACATATATCAATTTTCAAGGTGGCACAAGAGCCGAAAAATAAGTTAAAAATTTTTTTCTGATTTTTTTGCATACGCGTATTGGCGTATCGGCGGAAAACTCATCATTTTACAAGCCTGGCGGCCTGTCATGGCTTGAAAAACTTGCAGGTATCGTGTATAAAACTAATAGAACTATATTCTATTCAGTTCCAAGGTGGCACAAGAGCCCAACAAAAAGTTGTTAATTTTTTTCTGATTTTTTCGTATACGCGTCTTTGCGTATAGGTGGAAAACTCACTGTTTTTCAAGCCTGGCTGCCTTTCACGGTTTGAAAACTTGTAGGTATGGTGTATAGAAATAAAA